AGAAGACATTCTATAAATATATGAGAAACTAGAGGAAGACCAAGGACAGGGAGGCCCATTGCTCAGTGAACAGGGAGAAGCAACAACAGGAAACTTGGAAATGACAGAGGACCTTAATGACTTCTTCTTTTTGGACTTCACCAAGAAGTGCTGAATGACGTCTTTGTTTCTATCTTCACCAAGAAGTCTGATGATGACGGAATTCCTGATATAGTGGATGCTAGTGCAAATGGGTAGGTTTAAAAAGTACAAGTTAAAAATTACTTGGAAAAGATACACAACTGCAAGTCACCAGGGCCTGCTGAAATGCATCCTAGAATACTACCTTAGTTGACATTTTTTTGCTGCTTTCTGTTTTCCTTAGTAAAATTTAAATTCCACTTTCTAAATTACGCCTTGTTATCACTCACTGATTCTTTTACCGAGTTGTTAATGCAGAGAGGCACTTTTTTGGATCTTTTACTGTGTTTTTTAGTTTGGGGTATAAATTTAAGTTGAGACTTTCAGATGGGCTGTGTCTACACTGGTGGCTTCTTGCACAAGAACATCTTGTGCAAGGGTTCTTGTGCAAGAAGTGTTGCACAAGAAAACATCCACACTGTCATGTGCGCGCTGTGCTTTTGCGTAAGAGCTCCCATGGCAGTGTGGACGCTCTCTTGCACAAGAAAGCTCTGATGGCCATTTTAGCCAGAGGGGCTTTCTTGCGCAAGAAATCCCTGCCAAGCATCCACACTGCCCTCTTGTGCAAGAGCTCCTGCACGAGAGGGCTTACACCTGATAAAAAAGAACATAACTCTTGCGCAAGGAGCCCTCTCTTACCAGGCCGTACTATAAATCTCCTTGCGCAAGGGCAGGCGGGCAGTGTGGATGCTCTGCAGAATCTTGCGCAAGAATGGCCGTAATTGCGCAAGAAGCCGCGAGTGTAGACACAGCCCACTGGTGTCTTTGTAAAGTTTCCATGCAACTTGGGGGGATTTTAGGTGTGCACTGTACCTTTTAATTTATGTTTAACTAACCTCCTCAGTTTTGTGTCATTCCCCTTTCTGAAATTAAATGCCATCATATTGGGATTCTGTGGGATTTTGCCTAACAAGAGATGTTACATTTAATTATTTTATGGTTGCTATTTCCACGCGGTCCATCTATAGTCACAACTTGCACCAGATCCTGCTCTCCATTTAGGTGTGTGTGAATCAAGAATTACCTTTCCTCTTATGGCTTCTAAATCAGCAATGACCACTTAAGAGAGCGATCTTGGTGTCACTGTGGATAGATCTCTGAAAACATCTGAAAACAACAATGCAAGGTGCAGTGGGAATAAAAACCCCCCACTCAATACTCAATAAAAAATGAGTCTTTGGGATCATTAAGGGTTTGAGCCCCAGGAAACACTGGGGAGTAACTACTTCAATTTACTTAGTTATAACTATTTGGAAATCAGCGTTATTCCCCAAGGAAAGCAGGAGTAGAGATTGCAAAATAAACTGCCCATTATTTGGAAATCATGGGCTTGGTAGTGTAGACGCTCTGCTTTTTATTTCAAAATAAGGAATGTTAGAATCGTAGAATCCTAGAACACTAGAACTGGAAGGGACCTTGATGGGTCATCGAGCTCAGTCCCTTTCCCTCACGGAAGGACTAAACACCATCTAGACCATCTCTGGTAGATGTCTTTCTAACCTGCTCTTAGATATCTCCAGAGATTGAGATTCCACAATTTCCCTAGGAAACTTATTCCAGTGTTTCACCACCCTGACAGCTAGGAAGTTTTTCCTAATGTCCAATCCAAATCTCCCTTGCTGCAGTTTAAGCCCATTGCTTCTTGTCCTAACCTCAGAGTCCAGGGAGAATAATTTTTCACCCTTCTCTTTGTAACACTCTTTTAGAAACTTGAAAACTGCTATGTCCCCTCTCAGTCTTCTCCTTTCTAAACTTAACAAGCTCAGTTCTTTCAGTCTTCCCTCACAGCTCATGTTCTCTAGACCTTTAGTCATTCTTCATGTTCCTCTCTGGACCCTCTCCAATTTCGCCACATCCTTCTTGAAATGTGGTGCTCAGAACTGGACACAATATTACAAATGAAGTCTAATCAGCGCAGAGTAGAGCGGGAGAATGACTTCTTGTGTCTTGCTCACAACACTCCTTTGAATGCGTCCCAGAATCATGTTTGCTTTAGTTTCAACAATGTGACACTGTTGATTCATATTTAGCTTGTGGTCCATTTTGATCCCAAATCCCTTTCTGCAGGATTCCTTCCTAGACAGTCGCTTCCCATTCTCTGTCTGTGACATGGATTGTTCCTCCCTAACTGGAGTAGTTTGTACTTGTTCTTATTAAACTTCATCCTATTTACCTCAGACCATTTTTCCAGTTTGTCCAGATCATTTTGAATTATGACCCATCCTCCAAAGAACTCGCAACCCCTCCCAGTTTGGTCACATTGGGAAACTTAATAAGTGTCCACTATATGCCAGCATCTAAATTGTTGATGAAGATATTGAACAGAACTGGTCCCAAAACAGAAACCTGCAGAACCCCAGTTGTTATTCCCTTCCAGCAGGATTGTGAACCCTTAATAATTATGCTCTAAGAACGGTTATCCAGCCAGTTATGCGCCCACCTTATAGTAGCCCCAGGTAGGTTGTATTTCCATAGTTTATTGATAAGAATGTCGTACAAGACTATGTCAAATGGTGGAACGAGATGTACCGGTAGTTCGGAATAGGAAGCCTAGTCCGAACTACCTAGTTCGAGCCCTGTGTAACCGCGCTGCACGGGGTTCGAACCAGCGGGGTTTTAAAAATGGCGGCTCCCCGCTTATGCAAATGAAGCCCGGGAAATTCAAATCCCGGGCTTCATTTGCAAGTGCGGTATGCCTACATTACCCTCCTAGTTCGAACTAGGAGGGTAGTGTAGACATACCCTTAGGCATTCCTTCATCATCAGATTTCTTAGTGAAGACCGAAACAAAGAAGTCATTAAGCACCTCCTCCGTTTCCAAGTTTCCATTTGTCATACTTTCTATCTTTCCTACGCAGTGGAATTGTTTGCTTTTGAGCCCTTAATAATGTCCCTTTGAAAAATGGCCAACTCTCTTGAATTGTTTTTCCTCTTATGCTTGCTTCTCATGGGACTTTACCTATTTAGAAATAACTCCCTAGTGTAGACCAGAGCTAAAAAAGGTAGAGAGAAAGGCGTAGAGCTTTGTGAATACGGGCAGCTAACTGATGGTTTTGTGAGGGAAGTGTCCAGGTGAGGGAGGAACAACTACAGGACTCTTGGACTAAGTGGCTGTCTGTAGTGTGTGTGTTTCTTTCAGGCAAGCAGTAAGTAACCTCTTATCACAAACAATCTGCGGAGCTTGTGTGTGTGTGTGTGTGTGTGTGTATGTGGTAACTGTTTGTTTGTTTGCAGCTGAGCTCATGTGCTGAGCTGTTTGTTTGAAGCACCAGTGTACTGTGGTTGGCAGCTGGAAGCTGTGAGCTTTTTAAGGAGGATTTCAATTCGAGAACCCTCTGTTCATTGGTCAGGCCTTAGCCAGAGGCGGGGGTTTCAGGAAGGCCAGGGCTTTATAAAGCCTGCTGGTAATCAACCAGGGAGCATTGCAAACAGGGGCAGCTACCAGGGAGTTTCGTGAAGCAGAAAGGGGGAGTTGGAAGGGGGCAGGGTACACTTTTCAACTAAACTAAAATCCAAATAATGCTGCTGTGTAGGTAGAGCCAAGTGATTGGTTTTCTTGCAATAAAAAAAGAACCCATTTAGCAAAGAGCCTTTTCCTGCAAAGATTTACACAGATTTTCACTTGAAATGGCTAACACAGGCAATACAAGCAGGAATACAGCACCCGTGCAGGTGGCCTGTAAAATGCCACAAACCCTCTCAGTGGTTTTATTCTGCCATCATGGCATAGATTCCAAAACTATAATTTGAGAAATTGCCTACATCTGCCTAAACTGCAGGGATGAATTTAATCCAGTCCATTTCATAAACAGGGAAGGAGGAACAAGTAAATCCATAAGACAGATATTCGTATGCAGCAGAGTTTTTAATGTGAGTGAAATTGGCAATTCACAATTTCAGAAAGCAATACTACAAAGCAGGAAGAATGGATTCCCAGTGTTTTAATATGGGCTGTGAACCATCACCCCTTTCCTCAGATGCATTGGACGTGGGCAGTTCTTTTTCCTTTCTTGGAGCTGCAAGGTTGAACAACACATCACATATGCAGCTGATGCCTTTCTTAAGACCCCTGTTCCCTTCCCACTGCAGGGTTCGTACAAACACAGTGGCTTCGTCTAGACTGGCATGATTTTCTGCAAATGCTTTTAAAGGAAAAGTTTTTTTAACGGAAAAGTACTTTTTGCGGAAAAGCGTCCGTACCAATCTAGACGTGCTTTTCCGCCAAGAAAAAAACCAATTGCCATTTTTGCGATTGGGGCTTTTTTGCGGAAAACAAATCTGAGCTGTCTACACTGGCCCTTTTGCGCAAAAGCTTTTGCCCGAACGGGAGCAGCATAGTATTTCCGCAAGAAGCACTGATTTCAGACAGTAGGAAGTCAGTGTTCTTGCGGAAATTCAAGCGGCCAGTGTAGACAGCTGGCAAATTTTTCCGCAAAAACTTGCCAGTCTAGACACAGCCAGTGAGTGTAATTCACAGTGAGTCCAAATGTGCACAAGAGAAGAAGCATGTGGTTGGGAAAGCGTTGGCAGAAAGAGTTCCTAGCAAGACATTGGAATTGGGTCCATGAGAGAAAGGGGCTGGGCAGATACAGCTCACATGTAGATCAGCTGAAGCCAGGCCGTCCTGGCCCTTCTGAAATCGATATCAGAATCTATCAGTTGCTGTTCATTTCCTGGTCTTTCCTTTGGCCATAGAGATTCGTGCCATGTCTAACATGGTGAGCCGCATGCACTCAGGTACCTATGACAAGATACCCCAGTGCCACAAGATCCTCCATAACCATAACCTCCCCCATAACCATAACGACCTCCATAACCACCTGATCCTCCCAAGCCAAACAATCCCCCGTAACCAGCTCCAGAGCCGAACAGTCCTCCAGCTCCAAAGGAGCCCCCGTAGCCGGATCCCACGAAGGGGGCTCCAACAGCTCCCACTTCGCTGTGCTGAGGGAAGGTGCTCATAATGGGCCCTGGGATGGTCATGGCAATCGGTGAGGGTCTGATCAGCACTTGGGAGTCAGGGCACTGCCTCACGCACGGCTCGTTGAAGGTGCCGGAAACTGGGCTGGGTCGGGCCACCCCGCATTCTGGATAGCAAGACATCTTTGTGTGATGGAGGGAAACCTGAAACACAACAGAAGACAGAATATCGAGAAGGTGTAGGTATTGTTAGAACACTCGTCTCTTAGCTGGGTTCCTGTTGTAGTGGGGTCTGTATGGGGCCTGATGGAAAGAGGAGGAGGAGTGCATTTAGATACTTAGTTCAGGGATATGTATTTGTTCCTGTTTCTTTTCTCTATTCCTCTTCTCCACTCACAGTAAAGTCCCCTTCCCAGGGGCCCCTTTGAAACTACCTCAATGACTGAAATTCAGGCAACCTGGAAACAGTGTAACTATTTCATTGGTGGGAATTCTATTGAAGACATTTCTCCAAGGGTATGTCTAGCCTCTGGTGACAGGCTACCCAGCATAGGCTACCCGGCATAGGCTACCTCGGCTTAGTGCCCTAGTGTGGACGCTCCGTGGTTGACATCAAAGGCATTTGTCGACCTCCCTGGTATGCCTCGTGGGATGAGGTTTACTGGGGTGGTTGACAAATGCCTTTGATGTCGACCACGGAGCGTCCAGACTACCGCGCTGAACCAACAAACAGCTGATTGGTACAGCGCGGCAGCCATTTACATTTAAATGAAGTGGCGATTATTTAAATTGCTCCTTCATTTTCCTATGCCCAGTAAACAAATCTACATGTCTCCGTCAATGGAGCCATGCAGTGTAGACATACCCCAAGAGACTACAGCTGGCTTAGCGCTAGTCTGTTCCTTTCAAGAGAGCAGCCAATATCTCCCTCAAAACCAGTAGGCTGCGTCTAAACTTGCCAGCTGTCTACACTGGCCGCTTGAATTTCCGCAAGAACACTGACGATCTCATGTAAGATTGTCAGTGTCCTTGCGGAAATGCTATGCTGCTCTCATTCGGGCAAAAGCCCTCTTGCGCAAATGCTTTTGTGCAAGAGGGCCAGTGTAGACAACGCGGTATTGTTTTGCACAGAGAAGCCCTGATGGTGGAAATGGCAATCGGGGCTTTCTTGTGCAAAACCGCCTCTAGATTGGCACGGATGCTTTTCCGCAAAAAGTGCTTTTGCGGAAAAGCGTCTGTGCCAATCTAGACGCTCTTGTCCACAAATGCTTTTAAGGGAAAACCTTTTCCGTTAAAAGCATTTGCAGAAAATCATGCCAGTGTAGACGTAGCCGTAGTGTCTCCCTTCATAGAGTGGCTCTTTGCTTTTCCAAATCTTGGAAGTCACCAACATTTGCTGATGACTGAAACCTGAAACAGAACAGGGGATGGAAGAAAGAGAAGCTGTGAGTGGAAGGGTGGTCTCAGAGCTCGGTTCCTATTGCAGTGGGCTCTACATGGGGCTGGAGAGAAAGAGCAGGAGTGGGTTTAACCCCCTTGTTCATGGGTCTGTATTTGTTCCTATTTCTTCTTTCTCTGCCTCTTCTCCCCTGACACCAAACCTGCCCCCAAAGGGCCCTTTTGACACATTCTCAATGATTTTAGTATTTGGGAAGCTGTGTACCTATGTAACTGATGGAAATCATGGGCTACTGTGTCCATTAAGATCTTTCTCAAGCAACCCTGGCTCCCAATGCTTTCCTTTCCTTACAACAGTCAACTGCTGCATGCTACCCAGGTGTGTCTGGGTTCATAGAGGGGATCTTTGCTTTTCCAAATATTAGGAGTCACCAACACTTGAACAGAATATTTTTCTTTCCCCACAGAAAAGATCCTGAGCTATGTTACAATGAGCGCAGGGCCAGTGACTTCAATGGAGTAAAGAAATATGACACCATCTGAGGAGACGCATCTTCAGTGGCTGTTTCCGCTCACGAGAACATAGAAACTGGTCACTGGTTCATACTATCTGGCAGCTTAAGAATTCTCCCATCCCCAAGAGAGAGGGTAACTGCTCTTTTACAATGCAGGAGGAGAATGGAGAATTGGCTGGCTGTGTCTAGACTGGCAAGATTTTCCGCAAAAGTGGCTGCTTTTGCAGAAAAACTTGCCAGCTGTGTACTCTGGCCCCTTGAATTTCCACAAGAACACTGATGAGCTCATGTAAGAAATCAGTGCTTCTTGCGGAAATACTATGCTGCTCCCATTCGGGCAAAAGTCTTTTTGCGCAAAAGCTTTTGCACAAAAGGGCCAGTGTAGACATCTCAGATCTGTTTTGCACAAAAAAGCCCCGATCGCAAAAATGGCGTTCGGGGCTTTTTTGCGGAAAAGTGTCTGTGCCAATCTAGATGCTCTTTTCCGCAAATGCTTGTAACGGAAAACTTTTCCGTTAAAAGCATTTGCGGAAAATCATGCCAGTCTAGACGTAGCTGCTGTGGATAGACTAACCTGGGAAAGTTCCTTTTACATCTAGGTAAGAAACGAATCTCTAAAGTATTTTCTGAAGTTACTTTAAAGGTTATATGCCTTAATTCAATTTCCAGTTCATAGGAAACATGTTTTGCAATTGCATAGAGTGCTACTAAAATACCCACTATTGCTTTCAGATCATACATCCACCACAATCTGCAACTGAATCACTACACAAGACAATGAGAGAAGAACAACACCAGCTGTGATAAGTATCAGAGGGAGATAATGCCATATTCAGTTCTGAAATGGACATCGACCCTCCTGTGTCATCTCTCGGAGGAGAAAGAGATGGAGTCAAATTGGACTTACCGAGATCACCGAGGAGATGAAGTCCAGAGAAGCGTTTAGCAGAGTTCTGAGCCACGAGCCCTTTTATACAGTTTCTAGGGCTGCCGAGAAGCTTGATGATGCATTTTTACACAAAGCCCCAATTAATTATCAAAGAAACTGGATTGCCTTGGTAAATTCTCCTCTGAGGCTGCTGCTTTCCGAGGGCTGGGCATTATTATTGTTAGGGCCAATCCCATCGATGAGCATTACACTCTGGGTTCCCTGTGTCTCGGTTCTGCAATGAGAGTGACTGCTGAGATGATTCAGAGCTGCATCTGGACCACAATCAGCTCTTGTAAGCGAAATGCAGTTTGATTTCAAAGGGTGTTCGACCTGACCCTTGTCATGTTTGTAAGAATGGAGAAAAACAGCTCTCCCCATCCTAGAAAGCTCAGAATGAACTGCCCAACATCCCTGACTTGGACCAATATGAAGTGGAAGGAGCAATCGGAATAAACCCATTGCGTTTGTTGTTTTTCTCACGTTCTGACATGGGGAAAGAACAAGGCCTGTATAAATCTATATTCCCACTTGAACCTTCATTCTCTGTCTTAGAAGAGACTAAAATTCAATATGAGCCTTTTTCATGACACTCTCCCAAAAGGGAATTGCACCTCAGGGTGATGGAAGTCTGACCGAAGACTGGACCTCCCCTTGTGTCATCCATGCTGTCTCAAAGGGCTGAATTAAGTTCATTTTCTCATGAGTCCAGGGAAAAGATGGAGGCCTGTGAGAAGAGGCAGAGGACTTGGATAGAAAGCTTTTGAGTTAAGTCACAGAACGTGGACCCTGTCCGAAACACTTTGACTCTGTGTGACTGAGCTGACAAAAAAGCGAGGTCTTGTTGTAAGACAATGCAGCTGACTAAGCCCTGGAAGAAGCCCAGAGGAGATGGAGATCAGGGGTTCTCGGTGAAGGAGGAAATGGCCGTGGGACGAGATTGCACATGTGGCAGAAAACATCCCTGCAAGCAAGTGTATGACATTTTCATTCTACAACGCGTCCCTAGGAGTGTCTTCTACATCCAGAGAAGAAGGAGGACATGGCTTCCTTTTATTTTAAGTCCCTGAAGCAACTGTGCTGATTTCCCCCAAGAGGAAACCTTATTTTTCTATCAAAATATACTGCAAATGCCAACTGATCAAGTACATTTCAATGATACCAAAATATCCCATATCCCGTGACTCTCTGTCATGACCCAGTTAAAGGTGTGTCACAAGAGACATTGGCCTCTTCTTTTTTAAAGTGACTCTATTGCTCATTGCAGAGGTGTCTGATCCCAGAATAATGTCACATTTTGAAGACTCTACCCCTTTCCCTGTATGATGCACCCATGAGTGTTCTGAAGAAAGCTCTATAATTTCCAGCATTATCACCTTAGTATCCCTGTTTTATAGGGATTGAGAAAAGAAGCAAAATGAGGTGAAAGTCACATGGGTGTGAGATGCAAAAACAGAAACACAACTTCATACTGGTGATTCATCCTGTGACAGGCTCAATGCAAAGACTATACACGAAGACAATACTTCTCCAAAGGGACAACCATCTATCCTATGTCCATCATTTCTATATGTGTGGTAGCTGTGTAAATCGCAGCATATCACCCAAGCGTCAAAAGCTAGCTTTAAAGCATGTCACCCATTATGATGAAATTGCCCCCTGCTCAGCATGTGCACCTTCCTCTGTCCCTGGCAACACGTCTCTCTCTGGAGGGTCATGGTGACCCAACAGTGCAGAATTTTTTCCGATTTGTCAAAGGCGGCATGGAGCAGGTCAAGTCTCTCGCCCAGACTTCTTTACGTACAAGGATAATCATTGTCCTAAGGAACGTCAGGCATGGACGTTTCAAGTCTGTTCATGTGCAGTGCAGAAATAACACTCTAACATTTCAAATGGGAAAATGTTTGATGCCGTCTAATTTAAATCTGCTCAAATGTAAATAATGTAAATAACCATGAATGAGCCAACAACTGCAAATAAAGGCAGTGAAACCAAACTGCAGATCTATTGATTGTTGATCTTGCTTCACACATTCCCCTTTACACTTCCATCAGGCAATGTTTCACCCAACATTGCCCCAAAACTCATCCAACCAAAATAGGAAAAGGCCAGAATAAGCTGCTCTAAGCGGTATTCTCAGGGGAGGGACATATTGGGAAGTGGCAAAGAGTAAGTATCCAGCAGTGTTCAAGAGATTAAACTTTTTAGCAGCCATTAGTAGTCCCCATTTTTACTATTTGTTCTCATTCACCAGTCACACCTTGTCTGACCTTCACCTTAATGTGTCTCCATTGACCACTGTGGCAAAGTGGTGTAATTGTAACATTCATGGTGTTTTTCTGAGGTTTCCTCAGACCAAAGCATTGGAAGCACTTCACAACCACCCATTAAGATTTATATCTTAATAAATCTTATAGACTTGTATTATTATAGGAGTAATAACATTTATTGGGAGTGCGGGTTCTGATGACAAACATTAGACTCACTTTGAAAATGTATGTCGAGAGTTTAGAGGAGAGGATGGAAGATAAGAAATGGGTCTGAGTGGGACTCTTTTCACTCATTTGATTGTTTCTCTTCTGTTCTTACCTATCATGTCATGGCGAACTGCTAAACAGTGACAGATTTCTAGCATTGGTATATAAGCACTTTGTATACTGAAGTAATGAGATGGGAGAACTAATTGAATGGGGATATTCCTATAACCGGCATCCCAGAAATTTGGTGGAATGAGGCTAATGAGTCATACCAGGGCACAAAGTTCATCATGGGAAGGACAGAATAAGTCCTGCTGGTGGGGCAGTGGCACTGGATGTGACAGAAAACAGAGAGTCAAATGAAGTAACAATGTGAAATGAATCGAACTGTTCCATAGAATCTCTATGGAGACTGATTCCATGCTCTAGTCATATGAGAATAGCAGGAGGAATATATTACCGACCGTCTGACCGAGATAGTGACAGTGACTGTGAAATGCTAAGGGAGAGTAGAGAAGCTATAAAACCAAGACCAGCAACAAGAATGGGGAATTCAACTGTGCCCGTATTGAGGGGGTACGCATCACCTCAGCTCGGGATGAGGAGATAAAGGTTCTTGGTACCTCACATGACTGCTTAATGGAGCAACTGGAAGCCACAAGAGGAGAGGCAATTCTTGATATCCTCCTAAATGGTAGTGATAGTGACTGTGATCTGGTGTAAGGGGTGATCTAGTGATAGGATCTGGTCTAAGGGGTGACTCTAGATGGAACGCATGGAAAAGGGACCATCATATAAAACATTTAATAGCCGTTTGGTGGACAAACTACCACAGCAGCCCACCACGGTGGCATTTGAGTTTAGAAAGGAGAATGAGACATAAATGAGGAAGTTAGAGCAACAGAAATAAAAAGATACAGTGCTGAACGTAAAATCCCTGCAATGGAGCCTTTACGTAAAAAAATCAGAGAGAGATAAAAGAGCATCATTTAATACTAATCTATTAGAGTTCTTATTAATCTATTACAGTTCTTTGAAAGGGTTAACAAACATGTGGACAAGGGGGATGCAGTAGATATAGTGTACTTAGATTTCCAGAAAGCCTTTGACAAGGTCCCTCACCAAAGGCTCTTATGTAAATTAGGTTGTCATGGGGTAAGAGGGAAGATCCTTTCATGGATTGAGAACGGATTAAAAGACAGGAAACAAAGGGTAGAAATAAATGGTAAATTTTCAGAATAGGGAGGTGTAACTAGTGGTGTTCCCCAAGGGTCAGTCCTAGGACCAATCCTATTGAACTTATTCATAAACAATCTAAAGAAAGGGGTAAACGGTGAGGTGGCAAAGTTTCGGATGATACTCAATTGTTCAAGATAGTAAGACCAAAGCGAACTGTGAAGAACTTCAAAAAGATCTCACCAAACTGAGTGATTGGGCAACAAAATGGCAAATGAAATTTAATGTGGATAAGTGTAAAGTAATGTACACTGGAAAAAATAATCCCAGCTATACATACAATATGATGGGGGCTAATTTGGCTACAACTAATCAGGAAAGAGATCCTGGAGTTATCGTGGATAGCTCTCTGAAAACATCCACGTAGTGTGCAGCGGCAGTCAAAAAAGCAAAGAGGATGCTAGGAATTATTAAAAAAGGGATAGAAAATAAGACAAAGAATATCTTACTGCCCCTGTATAAAACTATAGTATGCCCACATCTTGAATACTGCGTACAGATGTGGTATCCTCACCTCAAAAAAGATATTTTGGCATTAGAAAAGGTTCAGAAAACAGCAACTAAAATGATTAGAGGTTTAGAATGGGTCCCCTATGAGGAGAGGATAAAGAGACTGGCACTTTTCAGTTTTGAAAAGAGGAGACTGAGGGGGGATATGATAGAGGTATATAAAATCATGAGTGGTGTGGAGAGGGTGAATAAAGAAAAGTTATTTACTTGTTCCATAATACAAGAACTAGAGGACACCAAATGAAATTAATGGGTATCAGGTTTAAAACTAATAAAATAAAGTTCTTCTTCACACAAAGCATAGTCAACCTGTGGAACTCCTTGCCTGAGGAGGCTTTTAAGGCTAGGACTACGACAGAGTTTAAAAAAGAGCTAGATAAATACATGGAGGTTAGGTCCATAAAAGGCTGTTAGCCAGGGAGTAAGCAATGGTGCCCCTGGCCTCTGTTTGTCAAAGGCTGGAAAAGAATGGCAGGAGACAAACTGTTTGATCATTGTCTTCAGTCCACCCCCTCTGGGGCACCTGGCACTGGTCACTGTCGACAGACAGGATACTGGGCTAGCTGGACCTTTGGTCTGACCCAGTACGGCCGTTCTTATGTTCTTATGTTCTTATTTAGAAAGTAGAAAATACATTTTAGTAAAGAAAACAGAAAGCAGCACTAATCTATGGGGATTTTTTGAGCGACTCATAAAGCACTGGGAAATGGGGTATTCAGTGGATACAATGTATTAGAGGATAGATCGACCGTAGTCCCTTTGGAGACATATTGTCTTCATGTATAAAGAAGACTGTTAAGGTGGACCAAACATTATCCACATTCAATCACTGATGCCTAG